AATATGTAGTTAACGCACTTTGTTTTACTATTTTTTCTTTACGGAAATAAATCGTATTGCAGCCTATTAAGGAAAAAAAACATGAAAACAAATTTGTGATGAAATCGCAATAACTACAAAAATGTAGTTATTAGTTATAGGTTATAGTTATCCTTAAATGTTAACAAGGGTTCTGGTACAGTATTGCTGCTATTTATACTTTATGCAACTCTTATGTATGTGTACTATATCATTAGGTACTTGTCTGAAATGCAATTGCACAACCTTCCCCTGGGAATCTTTGAGAATAACACAAGATTGGAGTTTTTGTAAGTAACATTTCTGTCTTAACGATTTAAACTCAGGATTATTGACGAGCGAGTCTTATTTATGTACGTAAACAAATGTAAAGCACCTATTTCGCTAACCAGAAGAACAAGAAATTTAAGAGACTCAATGATACATAAAATATTACCAAATCTTTCTTGAAGTGCGGCTAAGATGTGCCTCTTTTACTGCTGAATAGCTCTAAAACCCTCTTAGTGTTTTTGTTTTCAAACTGATACAAGTCAAGGTGTCGTAGAGAAACCTTGGAACTCATATCAAGGAGGCACTCTGACATCGATTGTCACATTTAAAACAGGCATTACCAGGTGTTTATTCAAAATATTTTCATCAAATCTCCATTATAGACCGAATGCAATTAAAAACCACACTTTCTCTTTGTATAATCTAAGTATATTGCAGTGTGATTTGATGAGTATTCAGGATGAAGTTAGCACAAGCAAATAATCATTTATGAAAGCAATGCAAATTTTTGCCAAATCGGCAAGACATTAATAATAGTCTCGGTGATTCCCCAACCCTGAGCGATAAACTTCAGGGGTATCTTAACACTATTAATCAGTTTATTTGGTAAATAACGCAGGCGCCTGAATGACAACGACATGAAAGGATTAAATGGAAGCGCCTTCAGAAACATGATACTTTTAAAGGAACTGTAAGTGTTTCTCGTAAAAACAAAATGAAACATGGTAACAATGATTTCCGTTTGCAGGATCGCAATGTATTGGCATCCGTCTTATGACTCATGCTGTACAATGATAGGGAAACAGATCTAGATAAAGGAAGAGAACTGATGACTTTTTGAAATCAGTCAAATAATAAAAGTTAGGAAAGGTTCAAATTCTGATTACACTCAAACGACCCTTTTTGTCAAAAATATATCTCCGAAAAAGGTTTATCAACATATCCTCTGATGTAAATCATCGCAGTTGATAACTTGTAGAACCGAGGTAAATTAAATATGAATTCTTTAGATTGCATCAGGTTGAGAAACCATTATCGGTTTGTCCTTCTAAAATTCTGTTTATCATAGAGCCCGTTGCATTCCACTCAGTAAGTGCGCCATGATCTCGAGCCAGGCATTTTCCAGTTCGGTCCTCTCACTCGTTGCATAAGTTCATAGAACTTGGTCGTATTGCATTGCATCGAATGGCATTGCATTTTGTTGTGATTTATTGTCAGTTACATATGTAATTATTTTTCCTGTTGCGTTTCACACGATGCAGTTATTAGAAATAACTGTGTTTCAGTTTTTATTCTCTTATCGCTCGTGCACCAATTTAACCTATAGACTAATAATTTTTTAAGCTTTTCAATAAACTAAGTAGATGTCTCTTCTTCAACACAGATGGTTGCAAGACAACAATTTCACTGAATTGCCTCCCGAATTATTCAAAGATCTAAAAGGCCTAAATGAGCTGTAAGTTACATGGAGACGCTCTTTAGCTATTTAGCTTTATGACTGTGGTTAAGCGATGATTTTAAGCTTTCAATGTCATCTCCCTTCCACAACAGGCCTGCTCGTGTAATTATATAGACAATAATATGCTGGTCACCATATTATCGCGTCACTAATTATACGAGATTGGACGAGATATTTCCATTTTCAAACTTTTCTGATATTACCCTCATCACAAAAATTAAAAAAAAAAAAAAACCAATTGAACCATCCTAAACTGTTCCCTCACTTTTGTTCTGATAATCAGAATAGGAGATTTTCAGTCATACAGCAACGAAATCGTTGCGTGCCATAAAATGTGTAGTCATTACATAATTTTCTGTTGTGAACTAGTTAGATGTCTTCATAAGACACGGTCTGGATGATTTCTATACTGAATAATTCACTGGAATAGTAGGGATAATCAGCTCCTGCCAACCTTAGATAGCAGTGTTTAGTGTGCGATCAAATTTCAAGTTGTCAACCGGTTGTTCCTTTTCTGTAGAAATAGCGAAATAGCTAAGACGATTGCACTGCATTAACTGTTCCTTTCTCTTTCTGAGATTATGCACATTGCTTGTACACGATTAAATTCAGCTCTTTCATTATTCTTAGTGACCAGCGTCTGTATACCTTTTTTTTCTACGAATTTCAAATAACAGGGTAAATTAAGACGCACTTTCTTGTCTTGTCATTCCTATCAGCTATCTGTCAAATAACAAATTGAAGACTCTACCAGATGGAATTTTTAACAGCCTCTCACACCTCATATATCTGTGAGTACAATAATCATTTAACAAAAGCAAAAATTCGAAAAGAGGTCATTGAATTTTTACAAAAAGGCACATTTCTCAAAGCTGCGTGGCCACATTCAGTTAACAGAAACACGTATGTTAACACTGAAAGGTCTGACGTGGGTATCAGTCGAAATTTGCAACACAGTTTTGGTGATAAAAATGAATAAGTCGCCAGGTGAAACTACGCTAAAGGAAGTCACTGATTATAAGGAGAGCAAAAGAAAAGAAGACCCACTACCCCAGGATCATTCTCCTCCATAAGGATTAGCAATAAACTCTAAGGATCACTTTTTGTCTCCGTGTCATGAAAATTTCATAGTCAATTTTTGTAAAACTGTTTTAGGTGAATTTTAGAATGCTATGTTATGTAGATGTGCTTTGGTGAGTAAAGTTGACGTACTTGAAGGTTTGAAAATCAATGAAAACCTTATTCGTGATTTGCTTCTGTTTGATAGCAACTTAGCAACTCAAAATTTTGTCCGGGTAAAACACCTGCTTTTAGCACAGCATGATAAACCAGTAAACCAAGGCTGCAACAACAGTAATAACTGTAATCTCAATAAAAACAATGACAATAAAAATAATATTAATAAAAATAAAATGATTAATTAGTGTTGATGATTTTCAAGTTGGGTATTGTTCAACTACTGCACGCGAGGTAGCAACATTATGATACATTCCGCGTTTTTGTATTCCTTTTTTCGTTGTCGTAAGAGTATTAAGTATAATTATAATAAAGTTCGGATATAACGCGCGCTGTCATTGGTTGAAAGAGCGTGCTCTATGAGAGTATAGAGCATAGAGCTGAGCTAAAGCGGTCACGCCATCTGCCAAATTGTACTATGTTCGACCTTTTCCGGGACTTCTTTTTAGCTTTTTCCCGATAATTGAAAGTGCAATTTCGGAACTGAAGCGAGCCGGCAAGTAGCAACAGAAGAATCAAACAAAGGTTTGTAAACATACCAGGCGCCGTAATTTACGTTATTAAAACGTGAGCAGATACGAAAATCCTCAAAGGAAAAACAAAATAAACATTCCGAGTTTTAAAGATTTTCATGCTCAGTTAGATTGCAAGCTTACGTATGGTAATAAAAATCAAACACGGCTAACACTCGCTTAGTATATAAAGTTCAGTGTTCAAAAACAAAACAGAACAAAACAGAAATGATGAAAAATATAACCAAACTGCATAATTGTTAAAATTCATACTTATCATGACGGTGTCTGAGCGAATATGATCATGCCGAAGTTCATCGCGGCTCGCTCATCATGGCGATCTCCGGTCATCACAGTAAAGCAAGCCTCAGAAACTACATCGGCCGCCCTTCGAGTGAAAAAATAAGAGCTTGCTCTGATATCCTTTCCGATACGTTGAGTGGCAATTCATATCAGTCACTGCAGCCGAGTTTTGCGGCGCTGTCATCACGAGCGATCTTCATGTTCCGGTGAATTCGGCTGTCTTTCATTCAAAAAACACTCGCCTTGAACAGCTTGTTTTCTACCTTGTCATGTAGGAAAAACTCGCGTGTTTTTATGAGCCATAATTTGGCTGAATTTCACTGAACATTTCACTTCGAGATTCTGTATTAGAGACTTAAAAACTTCAGGCAAAAGTGTTAAATTCGATTTGCCGAACTATTTCAGTTTGTAAACTATCGTAGAATGTGAACTTTGATGGTTTTTGAACTTTGATGGTTTGACACTTTTGACAGCTTTAGTCTTGTACAGCCAATCAGATTATTTGAACCATTCTAACAAGGATTCTGATTGGCTTATTGTAGCGTGCTTTATGAGAGTATAGAGCATGCTGACGACATTGTTGTTCGCTTTGGAAATAAAGTTTGTTTTGAAAATTGAAAGTAATGCTTGGGTAATTTAACGTACTCTTTATTATAAAACAAATAGAGAAGCCTCGACTGTGCTCTGTTCTGTTATAAAGCACTTAGGAAGCGGCTAGAGCACTCAAGAAGTGGGAAGAAACACTCGACTACGTCTCGTGTTTCTCCCTACACTTCTTTCGTGCTCTAGCCGCTTCCTGCGTGCTTTATAACAGAACAGAGCACAGTCAAGGCTTCTCTATTTGTTAAATAGTATATTTAGTATTTAGTATATTATAATCAATTTTTCTATTTTGTATGAAAAAAGCTTTCTGTATGATATTTTTTCCTAGAAAATATTCACGGATTATCTTATGCTCTTTTGGTCCGCACTATATCGTTTCTTGATAGTGTCATAACCAGCGTTTTGTTGCCGGATTTTGAAAAAAATTAACCATCTCTAATGTTCCTCCAGATAGCTAAGGAACTCAAAATAGATACATTAAACTGGAAACTACTGCGGAGGCAAACATTATTTTATGAACAGTTGTTCTTCAAAAGCAGCCAAAATTTTTTATTCTATGAATCAGTATTGTTAATTTCATGATAATAGATTCGTAACTACGGTTATTATTGCATTCTAGGGATTTGTCAAATAATGAACTTGGAAATCTACCGCCATACATCTTTAAAAACATTACAGCTGTGAGATTTCTGTAAGTGAGATTCTCTTTGAGTTAAGATTAATAAAAAAAGCTGTCTCTAAGAATTACCTTGCAATAACAGCAATAAGTGAGTAAATCGGCTTCCTAGTTTATAGCAATTTACATTTCTTATTTATTTTAAGCTGCTAAATCTTTTTTGTCTTGCAATTATATTTTGCGACAGAGGCTTATAATTTGTTGACTTAGATACTAAAGCAACCTAAATAAATTTTTTAAAATGTGCAATACCTTACTTACGATTTTTCAAACTCAGCTTTAAACAACAGACCTGAAGCAGAGGTTTTTGGTAATAAAATCTAAAGTTTCTCTAGCCTGAGAGCATGAAAGTTTCATGTGGGTCTGACGTTTTCTTTTTTTCTGTGATATTCAAATATCAAACCCGGGAGCTAATTGTGCTGCAGTAAATTCAGAAGATAATTAAGACAAAAGTAGATTTAAAGATATTCCTTCATGTGTGTATTTCAGTCTAACATCTGCACCGCGCTTTTTCAGAAAAATGGAATACAACAAAATTGAGAGGCTTCATGAAGATCAATTCCAGGGCTTAGTGAAGTTGTTCGAGTTGTGAGTACATCTAGATTTCAAACGTTAATTTTTCATTATGATCTGTTGCAATCTAAAGCCTATTTTAGAACCAGCCCATTCATATGTATTAAAAAAAAACTCATTCAGTGAATAAAAGTTGACAAGAAAATGTTTACAAATTAACCATATTTATATGGAGAGAGATGAAACCCAAAGAAGCGCATGATAATCATATATTATCAAGGTTTTTCTTTTTAACGTTTACGCGATAAACGGCTCAAGTGCACTGAGATTTTTGTTCATATTCGTCCTTCAGATTATAGAGCCGCAATGATAAAGTTAACTTGAAAGGAAAAGAACTTTTTTGAACAAAGAAAAAAATGGCTTCAATTTAGCTGAGTCTATAAATATTGAGTTTAGTTGCAAAGGTTTGGATTAAAACGGCCATGCGATTAATTTTCTCAGGGAATTAATTCGCACAGATATTAGTTGGAATAGAAAATCAGGAGGCATAATAGGGAACGCGTTAGTAAATATAGTCAGTATCCTCTATTAGTACTAGCGTTAGTAAATATAGTTAGTATCCTCTATTAGTACTAGCCTCTATAATATATTGGATCACAATCTTTGTCACCAGATCTATATAATTGTGATATAACTATATAATTGTGATATAACTTTGATATCAGTTTTGCTGTTTAAATTAGATGTGCCATGTCTGGTTATGCTATGTTACTTGTGTATTAAATTAAATTCCCCCTTACCTGTTTAAGACATCTCTCGGAGAACAGAATCGAGGCTTTGCCTGACAAGATTTTCGAGAGCGTTAAGAACCTCAAGGGCCTGTGAGTACAGCTGATAACATACGAAACAATTTCTAATTTTTTTAGAAGATGAAAATGTACATAACAGAAAGATTCACATTATGGAATTCTTTGAAAATGTTAACACGATCTCCAACAGGCGTGGTGTAAATTGTAATGCTCAACAACTTAATTTTATTACTATCTATTTTCTTGACGAAAAAAAGTGTGGCTTGCTATAAACATGGTTTTATTGAGCAAAGGAGGATATTATCAAAAAAGCAAACATAGTTGAGAACTATGATACTTCCGACGGCAACTTCAGGTGTAATTTTTAGGAATCAGACAATGTAAGACCTTGTTTATCAACTGCTAGTTAATTGTTATGTTATTAACTTTTACAGAAACATCTTGGGCAATAAAATACAAAATGTCACCAGCATGACTTTCGGTCATGCCCGGGAACTTCGATTTTTGTAAGTTCACTGCAAATGACAGTTCTTTATCACGGTACCTACAATAAAGCCGCATGTACTGCAATCGGATAAGATGCAGGTGTGAAGTTAATTTAGGGTATTATAGTTAATTGGGTATAATTTTTAATTTTGTTAAAGTCAAAGGAAAGGCTTGAAACTAATTATTTGGGAAGATGAGATATGCAACTTAATTTTCATCTTCTATTTTAAACTTGCAGGTTCATGCACTACAACCTGATGGCTGAGCTCCCCAAAGGCTTTTTTGGGCTTTTGCCACACATTATCAGAGTGTAATACTCCATTATAATAATTTAACATGATGGCTTAATAGGAGATTTGGGGCGAATGTTGTCTGAATTACCTTTGAAATAGAAATTATTGTCAAATTGTGATGTGGGTGATGCAACCATTTAAATTATTTTCTTTCCTTCAGTCTGTTATGGTTCAGTTGATCAATAAATTTTCATTAATGCCAACATCTTCTATCTATTCCGATACTGAAATGATATGAAGCCACATTTAGATATTAATTACAATTGCCTAAGGTGTGCTTCGCGAGACCCTCTAATTGCTATTAATTTATGAAAAAATGCTTATCAATTATCTTTGCCTCAGCATGGATCACTATTTTCTTGCCGATTGTTTTCGATAATCTTTATTATTTTGCTCTCATTGTTCTAACGATGAACCCTTTCTAATTTTCCCTTCTTTTTCTAATTCCAGAACTCTGGACACCAACCTGATGTGCTGCCACCTTGATCTTTTCAGGCAGGATGCCGATTGCGAATTTGCCTTCAATGATAACTTTGCAAGCTGTCACTCCATGTTCCGCAACCTTGCTCCAAGGAGAAGTCTTTGGGTTGTCGGCCTTCTCTCGTTGCTTGGGTCTGTGTTTGTAGTTGGGTGGCAATATTTCTTCCCTGATAACAATATGGTCCAGTCTATTATGTTGGTAAATCTTGGTATTTCAGACGGCATCATGGGTATTTACCTCATCATTATAGGTATAAAAGACCTGCAATGGTCAGGGGAATACTACCTGCACGACTATGAGTGGCGCACCGGCTGGTTTTGCCATTTCAATGGCGCCATGTCTGTACTTTCAAGCGAGGTGTCTGTTATGATGATTTCTCTGATTGCATGGGACAGGCTCAAGAACATTGTGTTTCCTTACACGTTTGCAAAAATTACACCAAGGCAGACCCGTATTATGTGCGCAGTTATCTGGCTGGTGGGAGGCATTATGGCATTCCTTCCCTTGTCTGGAATGCGATACTTTGGTGACTGGTATTATGGCAAGAACGTGGTGTGCCTGCCACTGCAACTTTCCCCGCAGTTACAAGAAGGCTGGGAATTCTCCACTTCCATCTTTATCATTTTCAATTTTTCTCTTTTCATCTTCATTATGATTGCTTATCTTGCCATCTTGTTGAAATCATGGTCGTCGAGCAGACGGCTGGGTGCGCATGGAACTGTTCGTGAAATACGAGCAAGAGCACAAAGCGCACAGGCTAAAAGGGAAAGAGCACTTGCCAAAAGAGTCTTCTTCATTATTCTGACCGATTTCCTGTGTTGGATACCAATCATTGCTATCGGCATCAAGTCGCACGTCGAGAAAACGTTTGATCCACCTGGTGATCTGGCAGTGTGGATTGCAGTGTTCGCCTTGCCGATCAATTCAGCTATCAACCCACTGCTGTACACGCTTTCTACTCCACAGGTAACAGTTTTCTCTTGCTTTGAAATACGATACACGGTCATTTTCAGTCTTAACAGACACCCCTGCGAAATGATTTTTGAAACAAACACAGATCGATTATCCCCACTGTTTTCCAGAAATTTTGATACTTTCACTCAAAGGCAACCTCTCTCTTTTTCAAATTTATTCTTATTACGACTGACAAATTATATTTTGAGACCCTCAAGTTACAGTCGATAAAAGTTTGTTTTTGTATATTTTTCGCGAAGTACCCCAGAAGTGGAGAAGCACAGTTTTTCTGTTTACTTCTTCACTGTTGGTTATAAGCATGGAGACAAACCTAAATTTAAATGAATTTAGTAAATATCTCTTTCATTAACTGCCGCATAAATTGATAATGTATAGGTGCAAGCTGTGTTGAAACCAAAACTGAGGAAACTGTGGTTCAATGTTCGATCTATTTTCCGAAGTGGACAAAATCAAGACGGTACGGTGCATTTATATATACCATAATAAGGCCTTGGAGGAGATGAGGGTGAAAGTGGTATGAAATGGTAAAAACAAACATTGCTTCCAAAAAAAAAAAAACAGAAAACGAAAACAAACAGACAAAAAGAAAATTTTTTAAATCTCAAAGGCATAATAAACAAAATGTTATAACAGGTTTTCGTAAAGAACAGAAGGTATTGTAGAAGAGGCCGGCAAGAAAAGAAATTAATGCAAGAGAGTGACTAAAACTGTGGGAAGAAATGGGGACTAAGAACTAAATTTATAATGTCAATAGGAGAAACGACCCGATTAGAAATCATAATTTAATGTTCATGAGCTATTCCGAGTTATAGCGGTTCAGAGATAAAGTGCCGCAACTTCGGCGCAGGAATGAACTGTCATCGGTATAAAGAGGAAAAACCGAGGTAGTAAAAATCAGCGAAAATTTTTCGAACTTCAAAGTGGGACAGTCAATTTTATTTTATTTCATTTTTATTTTTTTTTTTGTGGGAGAGATATGGCGGCAAAGTAAAAAAATATAGAGCTGTTAGATTTATGCGCGAGGGATGCATTCTGTTTTTTTCCTGCTGATTCGTAGCGGGGGGTTACTGTATTAGGCAAAATAAAACAAAATGATATGAAACGAAATGAAAATTCTGTCATTTGTGAAAAGAACTCAAAATCTTTCATTTGCGAACTGGAAATCTGTAATTTGCAAGACTAGAAGTGTGGAGAACTTCAAGGTCACCAGCCGGAAGAATAAATCTGTCGGTTCATCATAAGTTTGGATTGCATATGCAACCTATTGTGCAATGTAAAGATAGTGCGCAACAAGCGGTAGAAACGGCCGAAACTTTAGTTTCTTGGGTTTTATCAAAACTTCCTAAATGCTTCATATCCCACGAATGCACAGCTGAAGTATCAACCAATTGTTTTATAACATTGTCAACGCATTATGTTGCATGTTGTTTTCTCACAATTTGGGAAAATTTCGAGAAATAGAGCGCGCAGTTAGTCTCAAATAAGTCGTCTTTGAACAATCACAAGCTCTAATGAAACTAGATAAGTTCAAAAACCTATCCCCAAGCTAGAAAAAAATTTGACAGTTTTTTGTTATAATGTACTCAGAAACCAAAATTTTAAAAATAAAATTCGCAGTGCATACTTGGCAATCAGATTTCAAAGTCACTTCTTATATACGTCGGGTTTACCCAATGAACGTGAACTGAAAGGTAAGTCAAAAAAGACGTAAAAATATCAGAGAGAAACGCTTCATTCAAATAAATACCAAGTACGTTATGTATTGCCGAAAAGAATCATATTTCCTTGCGTATGTTCGACCCGCGTTAAAGATTCACATTTCTGGGATCGCTGTTTACTTGACTTCATGGCCAGAATATTGCGAAGCGTTGTGTTCAAAAGTTATCACATCTAAAACAAAATCTTCTTTTGCAGAATACCTCAGGTATGTTAACACTTATAAAAATATATCTAACGAGCAAAAGAATGCCCCAAAATAGCGAAGTCGACTGTTTTCAGCAAATTCAGTTTCGTTTTCCATCCATGATTCGGATCGTGTTTGGGAATCGTAGTATTGCTCACCCGAGAGCTCTTGCCATCGCTTTTAAGACTTAAAAGATCATCGCTTCCCAAACGAGTATCCTTCCACAGATTTACCTTTCAATAAGAGCTTTTAAAGGTCTATCTCAATCGGGATGGAAAGGATAAATTTCTTGAAAACCTCTCAGCCAAACTCGTCCGCAAGTTCGCATTCAATCGCTGAGGAAAATTTTCAATCTGGAGGCATATGTCTGCAGACGTCATTAGCATGTACAATAGGATTATGAAGCACGCTTACGCTGTTGAATTTGGGAACTTGAATTTGTTAGCTATGTTATCAATTCCTCTCTCCCACAAATACTTTTTCACTCTCCAACAATGAATTCAAGAAACTTTCGCTAATTATTCTTCATACCGATGAGATAGACTTCGCCTCTTTCTTGCGCCGTAATTTAGGCACCAGATCTCTGAACCAAGCAATATTGGGGCAAATGGATACCACTTGTAAATTAAACCTTTTTTAAATAGAATGTGAGCGTAAAACTGTGAACCATTTTCAAAATATAGATGGATAAGCTTCTAAAGATGCAGATCTGACTTGAAGAATGACTTTTTAAACTGATGTTTGGATAAGCCTTAATCTTTGTTTGTAAAAGTTTAAGACCATTTTTTTTGCTTTTTGTTTTTTTGTTTTTTTTTGTTCTGTTACATAGCGGAAGCAGGAAATGATCAGCAGGGACAGATTATGAATGAAGAACACGCCAACAACGAAGAGGGTAATATATGGTGATTCCTTGTGTAATTAATAATTAAATGACTTCTCTCCAACTTGGTAGTGTTCAATGTATAATAATTTTCCTTTGTTTCTTCTTTTCCTTTTTACTCCCTTTTTTTCCACATTTTTTTCCCATAGGAGAGCAGATTGAAATGCAAGAAATAGAGCACAACGAAATCCCGGAAGTGGAAGCTCCTGAATCGCCTTTTCTGCAACCAGGTCAGTATTCCATCCGTATACTTATTTTCACTGAAACATCATTCCGCAATTAGCTAAGTGGGTAATCAAATGGGAAACCTCTGAAGCAAATTATTCGTCTCAGTACTCGTAGGTATTATATCGTGGGTATGAATGTACTTTTTTTTAAATGATTTTGGTAATATGTGATTTCATAGTTTTCAACTCGCATGGCACGTGTATATATTTAAATTAAATCATCTACCACATGTTAGCACTCTTCCTGGTTAAGATAAATAAACGGAAACATACCACTCTGCTCCTCTTTCGATAATTCTTTTTGAGAAAAGAAAAATAGAGGAAGGGCTTCCCGTTATGACATAAACGCCATGAATTTTAATGTAATCACGATAGGCTGATTTCTGAAAGAGAAAACCTATAATAAAACTAACTCCTTTGGTCTTTCTTAAGTTACCTTCAACAATTCTGGAGACAGTTCTCCTTACACACTTTCTGAACCTCACTTGGTTCCCATACGACAGAGCTCTAGTTAATTACTAATAAGTATTCACAATTATCATTCCATGATTTAAGTTTGCGGTTCTACTATGAGGTAAATAACTTAAACTTGAAAATAATTTTTTGGTCCATCGACAGCTATGGAACAAGCCTGTGGAGGAGATGAGACCCCATCTTCTTCCGGTAAAATATCTTATTAATTGAAATAAAATTCCCCGCCTATTATTATGTTTTTATTATTATTTTTTTTTATTTCAAAAATATTAAAACAAGTCATGTAGAACTGTTTTATTCACAAGAGTAGAACTGTAATCATTACAACTGTAAATTGTAACTTCGACTGCTGTTTAAAATTGTTCCTGAGAATCGCCAGATACTGAGCAAGAAATGATGTGGTGGGAGTTAATGAAAGAAAGCACTGAGTCACATCAACTGTTTTTTGAAAAAGTGTGATTTCAAATACACGTTATCATGCGCATAAACTTACACATGTGAAATAATGTGAGCTGTATAACATAAGCATCATGGCATGGTTTACTCTACTTGTTCTTTTGAAACAGATTATGAGGATGATTTTGACATCCGACCAGTCACTGAAAAGACTGTCGAAGGTAAAGAACTTTTAAACAAACTATGTAAGTCTACCAAACAATAAATTAAGAAGAGCCTCGTACAACCCAAAGTGTTGGCTGGTTCCACAAAACTGGCTTGTGGTATATTTATTTATATATCCTTGTATGTTATACAAAAAAAGATTCTATTTCGGTCTCTTGAATGAATTCATAGAAGAAGCTAGGTGGTCACCATCTCCTTTAAGGTCAAAAAGTCTTTCCTCACTAACTGAAAATAATGACTCTTGCAAACTTAAAAAGACAGAGTGGGGGAAATTGGACAAAATTAGACGTATTCATGCCCTACACGCAAGTGCACCAAACACCACCTGCCTCATGCCCGTTTAGGGTAGAAGACTCTTGCGCAATGCCTAGTGAATATCTTTAATAGCTATTGATACAAGAGTTGAAAAATTTTCAGCAAATGTCATTTGTTTTTTAATCATCTTATTACTTACTCATAATGCCATAATGTGCTTAGTTTCAAGTTTACAAGTATTCGATTACTAATTTTTTTCAAAATGTGTTTCTCCAGGTCAGAAAGGAGAGAAAAAGCGTGAGCCTGAACAGCCAATTGAAGAAGGTAAATTTCATACGGTTCAGTTTCTTTTGCTTTAATTTTTTTTAACCTTTACAGCTAAATGAGCCAATTTGGTGGCTTCGACCATGGGCCGGGTTTATTATGAAGACCACTTATTATATTTGATAGGTATTATATATGCGTTAGCCTACACAGCAACACTGACAGTTACTATAATGCATTCTATACGTTTCCCTTAAAGTACTCATATCTCATTATAATTAACAACCTTGCTATCACACAGAATCTAAGGAGCAGGTGGAGAGTGAAGAGATTCCGATGCCAAGCGACGAAGGTAAAGGATATAGAGATTTTGATTGGTTACCCAAGGTGTTAACGCGCTAGATGAATTATTGAAGCATATCTTTTACCTTGGTAGTCCCTAAGAAAAAAGATAATGACTTCTTAAAATGCTCAAGTCAAAGCAAGATTGAACGACTGAAACTAATGTACATTTTATCAAATGCTTTATCTTCTTAAAAAGCTGAAAACGTCGAAGAAGAAGACAAGAAAGCGCTTGAGCTTGAGCCTGACATGGACACGGAAGAGGAAGGTAACATTCCTTATAATCAGATAACTTGGGTTTATCGACCGAGTTGATAATGTAAACTGACCCCCGTGAAGAGTTTCAAAGCTGATGCCTCGAGCGTCTGCCCTACGTCAGAGCGAATGGAGGAATTTAGGTTGTGTGAGTGTTTATATGTGGAAAATGGAGATACGCTATAGGTGAGAACATGGTGACAAGGAATATTAGAGTGAATAAAAAGCGTTTGTTAATACTATGGGGATGAAGAGTGCCAATTTGAAAGATAATTTTTTTGCTCTAGAGTTGTGCCCCCCTCCGAACTGCCTAGATATAGGGAAAGGCCGTAGACTGCCATGTGACTCCTAGAACGTTCAGGAAGATTAAAGTGTCTAGCAACTCGTTTGGATGCGTCTTTATACGTTGCAAAGGTGTTTTAGAAATTGGCCGCCTAGTCACCGTTCTGTGTCATCAATGTATATCTTTTTGCAATAAGTGCAAGTTATGCTATATATGACATTGGCGGAACTAGAAGCGCAACTTAACCTCTTCGTACCGTTATGGGACCTAGTTCTTAAACACTAATCAGCTTGGCCGAAACAGTGCTTATGCACACTTGCTTTTCATTCGGGGACAACTATTACAAAAAAAAAGAATGGGTAAAAATGAAACCAGCTAAAGCCAATATTTTCGTAGGTCTTATCGAACGCCAATTTTTCGGTTAATACAACGGCCTCAAACCTAAACTCTACGTCGCTACATTGAAGTGTATATCGGTGCTACCGCAATTTATAACCGCAGTCAATTCCTTGTCTAAAATACACCTAGGAAATTTCCGACATTTCTTGGCCTTTTTAGAAATGAAAGTTTTAATTAAATGCGAAGGTTAATGTACTAGTGTGTACAACAAACCTACCGACTTATATAGTTACTTGTAATATTCACCTCCGCATCCATTACATGTTAAGAAGACCACTGCCCTTTCTCAGTTTGTTAGACTTCGTCTTTTATGTAGTTATGACTGTGATTTTTCCGACATATCAAAGGCAATGTGCCAATAGCTATTCTATTCTGTCGTTCAAGCGGGCCACCACCACAACCAACAAATTGATCGACCGTCAGCACCACACGCGTCACAGAAGTAAATTACCGATTGCATTCAACTCACTCCCACATTTCACCCTTACAGCCATCAGTTAAATACATCATTCTTAAAAACTTAAAATTTCTTTAAAATGATTCAAAGACTGGTACTACTTTGGCGCAACCACTACCTATTTCATTCAAACACAGCAAAAACAAACGATCCATCATGTTCAATGATCATTTCACGTGGAAGCAGGGAGACCACTGGGTGACCGATTCTGAGAACACAGTCGCGAAGTAGGAAGTAGTAGGACAAAGACGGAAAACTCTGAAACATTTTTTTAATTAATTTATTTCAAATCGGTATAAACGAAAGCTGTGGTTTGTGTGTATGTAAACACACACACAAACCACAATCTCCCCATTCCCTCTGACGAAGGGCTAATGCTTGAAACGTCAGCCTTGAAACTCTTTCCGGTGGCCAATTTATATTATTCAATCAGGTAATGAAACCAAATTATGTATATGTCTCGCCGAAAAAGCACCACAGTTTTTTTTAATTACCCCCTCAACTCATTCCTTATAATTAGCCAACATCGACTCAGAGTGGTCATAAGGTGACGCAAAATCAGTCCAACGTATTCCCTGAAGAAAGCGAAACGCTAAGGAGTGACTGAATTAAGAAATGAAAGAGGACACTTAAGTTTTATTACACTTCGTAACATCGAGGAGCCAAAATCTGTCTGACATCTGTGGAGACGCTTTACAAATATTTTTGTAAAACATAGCTGCCGTGTGGTATATGTCATTAAATAAAAATAATGATCGAAATATCGTGTACCACAATTTTCCAATTACTCTAACACAGAAAAGCTAGAGTTGTATTAGTAAAAACAGATTCAGATTATAGTAGCTTAATTGTCATCTTTTTTCGTTTTCCATCCAGGGGAAGATGAGGAGTTTGATCTTTTATGTCCTCTACTTTAGTTCTCTATTTTCGTTCCAAGGTAAATATTTATCATATATCCCTCAGCAATTCTGAATACTAATGACTGAAAGCTTGCGGAAAACAAAGCTTGAAAAAGAAATTGTCTTTTGATTGAGTTCTTATCAAACTTTTGGAATTAGTCTCATACTTGAGAAGTAGTGTAAAAATCTCTGACTTTTGTTTCTGATGCCTTGCCGTTCATATGCTGGGAAAACTGACTCCTGATTGCTTGAACCCTCAGGTTCTTGTACCTCGCTAAAACCTGAATCAACTGATATTCTTTCCCACTCCAACAATGTAACACTTCCTTACATTCTTTAAGCCTGTGGTGACTGAAAAAAAAAAGGAAAACTGCATCTGCAGTGATTTAAGCTGCTTCTGGCGTAAAAGAAAACAATGTGATTCGTAATAATTATAATCTCAGCCTGCTGCTTGTGGTTTTGCAAACCAAAACGGTTTTATCCTGATTCTGGTGATTGCTTGAACTATCAGGTTCTTATGCCTCGCTATGACCTGAATCAACTTATTTTCCTTCCCACTCAAACAATGCAACACTTCCTTATATTCTTTAAGCCTGTGGTGACTAAAATAAAAAGAAAAACTGCATCTGCAAGGATTTAAGCTGCTGCTGGCGTGGAAGAAATCAGTGTGATTCGTAATAGTTATAATCTACTGCTTGTGGTTTTGTAAACGGAAACGATTTTATCCTGATTTTGGTGATGTACGATAAGTAAAAATAT